ATCTATATACATATATATATATAATTTCTTATAAAATATAGTTATATATATAATAAAATAAAACTATACAAAATAAAACAACCTGATAATAAGTCGAGGCTATAATTTAATTCTATATTCTTAAGATAGATTCATCCAGCTATGGTGCTAACGGAATTCTTATTTAAACTAGCATCCTTCTAAAAAATAGGACATCAGAAAAACGACTTGCTATTACTTCCATTTGTTCTTCAGTAAGTGCTCCAATGGTGTTAATAGTAATGGCTATTTTCATATTTTTAGTAAATTTGATGTTTTAATCAATTGGTTTCACCATTTTACTTGGAAACTACCGTGTTTATTAATAGGTTATGTGCTTCCAAAGTTTACTCTACTTATTGTGACATTATATTATATTGCTTTGAGTGCTTCACATGATGTTATTTTGCTGCTCACTAGACATATTAAAGTTCTTTATCTACCACGGTCCAACATCGTGGTAAAAAACATACTTTCTACCACGGTAAAGAATCATGGTAAAAAATCATCAATTTACTACCACGGCTGATATCACCACGGTCCAAAACAGTGGTGGAAAGCATTTTCCACCGTGGTTAAAAACTAATTTTCTTATAGTGAATGCATATTTCAACACTTATCATACCCCTAAACTTACATATTGCTAGCCCCTTAATTGTAAATTCATTTACAGAGAATGATTGAAAGCCAGCAAATGGATTCATCCCTTGAAGTCAATTATGTGTTGTTCAACTTGAAATGAAGAAGGGATCCCTAATATAACACATCATTCTGATGATTTGCAAACTGAAAGAGAAAGAGAGAAGGGGAAATATATTGGCTTCCTCTCCTCTCCGCCACCCTTGAAATAGCTATACTTCACATGCTTCATTTAAGGTGAACATTATTGCATCATTAGGCAGTGAGAGTAAGCCATTATAGGCTGGTCTTTTCACCTTTTATAGAGTACAAAATTCTCTCTGGCCCTTTCAGAATAGGGATGAGAGAATTTGTTTGAATCACACATTTAATTAGTATCGACTAGAAATCTATTTCTTTTCTTATGCAATTTGATTATTGGTCTCATTCATATATTTTCTTTCATAGGACTAGGGGCGCAACTTGGGTGGGCTAACCCAGCCCAACCCAAGCCCAGTCCAACAATATTGAACTCGGGCTCAAATTGGGTTGAGTTTTATCAAAACCCAAGCTTGTTCGGGTTGGACTAGGGCTTGACCTGAACACAACCCAACCAACCCAAAACCCAAAATTTTAAAAAAAAAAATCCAATTTTTTATCTTCCAAATAATATATATACATATCTATAGATATATATATAAAGACGCCGCTATGTGTATATATATATATATATATATATATATATATATATATATATATATGAAGCCGACGGCCGTTTTCCTCCTCTACCGCTGTTGCCGTCTCCCTCCTCTTCTGCTGTTGTCTCCCTCTCCCTCCTCCTCGTCTGCCACCGTTTTCTTCCTTCTCATCTACTGCCGCCTCCGTATGCTTACTCCTCCTCTGCTGCCGCCACCATTTTCTTCCTCTTCCGCTTCTTCTGCTGCTTCTTCTGCCGCTGATGCAGTTATATATATATAATTCCAATATTTATTTATTTTGTTTGTGAGCTAAGTCACATAAAGAGGTAATGGAAACGAAAGCGAATTCGAAAGCATGAGAGCGGCATAATTAAGTCATAAGTAAAGAGAATTTGAGCGAAAGCGTGCGCGGAACTTGAGAGCGGGAGCGCGCTCGGAGTGTAAAAGCGACAATTATTGAGAATGATTGTGTAACTTAATTTGTGAAATGAACACTTGGAGAAAAAAAAAAAAATGATGCACAAGGGTTGTTACGCAGTGATTTTTTTTTTTTTTTTTTTTTTTTTATTTTTTTATTTTGAACTCTTTTCTTTTTTAAAAAAAGATTAGGCTTACAAAAAAAAAAAAATTAATTAAAAATTATTTTTGGAAATGTAAATTTATATTATATGTAAAAATAAATATAATTAACCAATATTTTTATGGAAGGTCTAATTTTTTGCCATTTTTCTACCCTATTAGTTTTTATCCTTTGATATTTTGATGACATCCAGATCTTCTTGTTCTATTATTTTTTACTTTTAAATTTTTTGTCAACTTATATATATATATATATATATTGTCATATGTTACATGTGTTTATATATATTTATATAGAGGCCTACCAAATTTATATATATAAAAGTAAAAATATAACTCATAGTTTTATGAAAAATAATTTTTAGGCCTATTTCTTTCCGATTTGTCGTGCTGATTAATTTTTATCTTTTGATACTAGTTGGTGGTACCCAAATCTTCTCCTTGTTTTATTATTTTTTAACTTTAGGCCAAAAAAAAAAAAAAAAAAAAAAAAAAAAAAATCCTGAGTTGACCCAGATTAGCCGACCAACCCAAAAATATTTGGTTTGGGCCACCGCGTTGATAAGATTGTAAAAAATTATTAATGAATCAAAAATTTTTGAAAAATTTGGAAAAACTTCCATTTAAACAATGGTATCCAAATTTTAAAAATGGTATCCAACGTTAAATCTTATGTTTTTTAAATCTTATCCCCAGGTTAATTATAAATTTCAAATTTTCCAACCACCCCTACCCCAACCCCCAACCACTTAAAAAAATTTGATGTCTACAAAAATAAAAAAGGAAAATATAATTTGCGTAACAAAAAAAATAACCCGTGAAACCCGCCCGATCCGGTCAAAATATTCTAGCCGTATCATAGATATAACCCTTTTTGAATGGAATTCGAACTGATCTAACCCAATTCGATTTTAGGTTACAGATGAGATGAGTTAAGACTAGACTGAATTAGGCCAGTCCAACTTTTTTGAATAGAATTCGGACGGGTCCAACCCAATTCGATTCCAGGTTAAAGATGAGCTCAGACTAGATTGAATTAGGCCCGTCCAACTTGCAGCTGTACATATGCAGCTGTACATAAGAGTACTTCAATGTCAACACCGTATAAAAAATGTCTGATTACATAAATGTTAACAGAAATTGAAATGATAAAAATGGTTAAATGAAATGGCGAGAGGTTGTATATCCGAGTGCAGCCAAGGAAGGAAGATGGCACACGAGGATTGGGCCACTAAGCTCAGGGTAAGGAGAGGGGGGACAGCTAGTTGGTGACACCTCAAGACACTAGCGTGCACCTCAGCCCACCGGCCAGTAAGTATGTATCAACATACGTACATAATATACATGTATGCATATATATATATATATATATATTTTATATAAATGACAATAATTTGATTGGACTGAAGCAGGCTGTTTTGCACGTTCCCTCATCAGGCTACTCATTCATTAGCTGGCACCTTTCAATGTGATCCCAACAACCCTTTCCTCCCATCCCCGAACTCTCGTACCTCCTATGCTTCCCCTTTGGTGGCATCCAAAACAAATATAATAGGGATTTCATCTTTCATTGATACTTGCTTCGTAATTGTTATCTTTATCTTTCACTCGGTATATCAGAAAATATATATACATACATAGATGCGTGTTCTGATTATATGTTTTATTGATTATATGTTTGATTGACCTAAACTTGAGTTCTGATTATACGTTTTATTGATCTAAATTCGAGGCTCGTACTTCTACTTGTGGTGTGTCTAATGCATCTTCAATAATATTTGTGCCATCAAAATGAAATATGAATATACTTTAATAAAAATCATATATATATTTTTATTTTGAAAAATTAAAGTTTTTATTTTTCGGTAAGTAAGTGAATTGTATAAAAAAGATAAAAAAAAAAAAAAAAAAAACTGTACAATAGACAAGGAGTATACCCCTAGAAAATTAAAGAATAAAAAAAAAAAATGGGCTGAAACAATTCCATATAAAAATTTGAAGTTTTTATTTTTCCGTAAGTAAGTGAATTGTATAATAAAAACAAAAAAAGTGTACAATATACTACTAGGGGTATACCTCTAGAAAATTAAATTTAAAAAAAAAAAAAAATAGACTGGAACAATTGCATATAAAAATAAACTCAAGCCCAATCCAAATAATACAAACTAAGACCCAAAACCAAAAGATAAAGACCTGGCCCAAAATTTGAACACCTAACTAACCCTAATTAACAGACATTGTAGGATCATCAACATTGGAGAAAGCCTTTCTATGGTGGTGGTGGTGGTGGATTTGTGGTAAAAATTGTTTAATGCTTAAAGGTGAAGAATGGGGTTTTGTTGGTCTCCAGTAATCATATATGGTTTGCCTTTATAATGTCACAATAGGTACTAAATTGTTTAATGTCAAAAGGAGAGCTCAAAGGTCCAATCATGCAGTAGAAATTGATGTCTGTCTGACTAGTCTACCTCTCTTGTCTGTTTGTGTTGACTTAGTGTGTGTGTGTGTGAACAACCTAGGAGACTTTGGGTGTAGTAAAACTAGAATGGTCAATATTTGTGGGCTTTCTCTCTATATCTTAATTGCTTTATGTTGTGGGTTGATGAATTGGAACGTTGTCAACAAACCCTAGTCTCGTTTTTCACCTAAGCCGGCTAGATTTGGTGACAGTCCATTTGGGGTTGGCATTGAACAATTGGAGGTTGGTTCCTCAAGACAATCTTCAGTTGGGTCCATTTCCCTATTCTACCAATATTTCTCATCAGCCAATTTGGTTGTCACAACACCACCTACTTGGAATGTAGAGTAGGCATGTGTTATTTGGCGCGCTATTACCTAATCTTACAAACCAAACCAACTGGGCTAATTTTCTTAATAAAGAGATAAATTGGTACTCTAAGCTGATCCAATTTTAAGTGAGAGGTTCAAAAATCTATCATGCATGGTAGATTTCATTGGCAACCTTAAGTGAGCATAAAATCATTCTATTTAGAGATCATTAATCAAATCAATGAATATAAAACTCCATTGTGATATTTGGATAATAAAAAGACAATATGTTAAAGAATCTGCACCTTATAGACAGAATAAGAGAAAACTATATAAGTATTATGTATATACATAGAAATATGCAAGGGACATATGATTTATTTAATCATCCATGTTTCGATCCGGCGAATTCAGGGGTGGGTTCTGTTGAGCTTGAGCCCACCCCCACAAAAAAATTTATTCGAGGCAATTTTAGTCCAACCAAATATAAAAAAAATAAAAATAAAAATAAAAATTAGTACTAGTAGCTCACCCTAAAATAGATTAGCCCACTCCATGCATTTCTGGATCTGCCCTTGCTCATGTGTTGTTGATTTCTTTGACAGCTTTGGGATTTGCTTCCTTCATCTCTCTCTTCGATTCTGATTCCGGTTGCTTGTTCCTAGTCTTCACTGCAGGAATTTCTTTCTCAAAAGCATCCATTTCTCTGTTTTTCATGTCCTCCAAACTCTTTCTTAGCTCTTGTAGCTGTTTGATATAATAGTGTAGTCTATCTATCATCCCCGCTAGAAATAGGGTAAATCCTGCATCAATTTTATTTTATTTCATAATCTATAAATAATAATAATAATAATAATAATAATAATGTACAAAAGCAAAGTGGAAAAGTTATGTGATATGGTTGGTTCATGTCCTCCACAAAAGCAGGACCAAACTAATACATAATGAAATTAGTGCAGCTTCAGATGCCTTTTCTTCAATTGTTACTTCCTTTAAACAACTATGTTCATTGCATTGGAACAAAAACCAACAATATTCAAACCATTTGGCACTTGGACACACACACACACACACACACAAAAAAAAAAAAAAATAATAATAATAATAAAAAAATAAAAAAAACACACACACACACACACACCACACAATCAAATAGAAGCAAAATGGATTTGACATGGCTGTAAAATAGAAGTTTTTACCCATAAGCGACGCTTCGAGAAGCTGATTTGCTAGAAGAACCTGATCAGTTGGGTTAGTTGTAGCACCATCAATATTACGTCTCTGGATTTTGATTATACTATATAAGCTGGAAGCTAAAACCACAATCAAAGTACCGGCTACGGTCTGTGCCATTATGGGAACCCTCCCCTGCTTCACCTTATCCAAACCCCTGATCAAAACATTCCTGAGAGGGGTTCTAAATAAAAGAGTCAGAATGAGAAACATTTCGGAAAATACAAGTGTAAACAGAAGTTGTATCATCTTTCTCGAGTTTTAGAGTCTAGGACAGGATGGTGCTAATAATAATCAAAGAGCATTTGATATGGAAATGTTGGGTAGGATACTGGTGCTAATAATATCTAAGATATTCTGCGAGAGTTCTAGAAGGTTCTAGAGGGTTCTAGTAATAGGGGATAGTTTTGTAAGTATCAAAGATATAGATCAACGTTTGTGCTCATGGCCGGTGACCGACAGATAGGTATAAAAATTATAAATATAATATATATAAAAGATATTTTGAAAGAGAGATTTAGATATTTATAAATATCTAAGATATATATAGGCTATAGTTCAGAGTTTGTGCCAGAGAAAGTTGGTGTTTGCCCCCCTTGAGTCGGCATAAGTATAAAGTCCTTCGGGTTTGTATTAACTTCCTTCAGTTTTGGAATACTTTTTTGAGTCACCCATAATATACTACTACGTGTACCATATCCAACGCTTGAGTTGTTAGCAAGTTATTGGGATGGAGACTACCACCCGACAGTTTTCTAAAGTTATTCTCTCTCTATGGAGATACAGATATTTGTGGATTTTGTTCTCTCTGTGACGCATTCCTCAGAATGAGTTACCAATGATCCTATTTGTATTAACGAAGAATAGTAAATCACGTTACTAAATCAAATTGCCTATAAATTTTGTAATTGACAATTTTTGATATTAAAACAAGTCCTGATTGAGTTGTAATTTCAAATTATCATATCAAGACTAACATCGATTGCGAAATTAAATAGTTATTCAAAAATAATAAACTAAGATCATCGAAATAGGAAAGAACAACATTTTTAGGAAGTCGTTTCCCATTTAATTAAGACACAATACCTACATGGTATGTTTTTGAAGTTACCAAAAACAGAGTTTTCCAAGTTCTAATTGAATTATGTCAAGTGGAAACCGGTACCAACATTTGGGAACCGGTTCAGGAGCAAGGATTCGAAGAACACCATTCTGTCTACTGGGAATCGGTTCCACATATTGGCTATCGGTTGTAAATTATAATTAATTCGTGTTAAGTCATTCATCACAAATAAATATAAATCTCATAATCTTAAAACTTCATTATTCTCACATATCTATAATGCATAAATAAATATAATTAGATATAAATATCTCGATCTGTAATTACTAATATCGTAGAAATCAAGTCCAACGTCGAGATCATTTCTGTGAAATGAACAACATGCTAAACTGTAATAGTCAAAACGTGAAAACCGATTTCTCTTTCTTGGCTTTTTACACATATAAACATTATACGTGTTATTTTCATTAGTCGTACATAATTGATGGAGTATATGCACTTTTATAAAGGCAGAGAGATGACCAGTTTTCCTTTTAGTAACATAATTCTACTTTCTATCAAAGTAAGAAATAAGAAAGGAAAACACTTCTCCAATAAGTAATTACTAAAAAGGTAATTATAAGTTAACCAAAAATAAATAATATTAATTGATATCTATTTACTTAGCTACCAAGTAATATGTCATGTGTCCAAATTATGTGAGCCACAATTAAATAAATAATCTTGCATTTTCCCACTTGGCACATATGATAATTTCTGTAGTGGTTTAGTAAAATAGTCATTAGTGTGCACCATAAATTAGATTAAGATATTAAGTTGGTCATCATAAATACCATAGTAAATGAACTACCAATGTGAGTCATGGCGGTTGTATGTCCCTAAATGACACAGTCTCTTCCATGTACCATAACACTAGTAACCTATTCAACATAGTCTATAAATAAGAAGTATCAATAATGATCTAGCAATAATGTCTTTTCCAAGACTATTCCTACTACTACTTATTAAAGCAATACGTACATGTACATTAATTAATAGAAAATATCAGAAACACATTTAATGAGCGCAAAATGTCAAATATATATAAGCACTGTTAAACAATCCACAATTAAAAAATAATCATCATTGACTACATTCAAGACCCATTATTCTAATATATTCCATAAATGTCTTAGGTGGTAGTCCATTCGTTAATGGATTGCAATAATAGGTTGTGTGCTTATATATTCAATAGATATTCGTTGTTTCTAAACATCTTCTTTAATGTTAAAGTATTTCAACTTTAGAATACCTATCATTTTTCATACAAGAAGATCAACAATTGCAGCATAAATTTTCAACAATCTGAAAATGGTACCCATAACTCCAAATCCTGAAATAAATTCAGTAATAATAAATTATAACCTCAAAGCATGCTACTAATTAAAAATTCATAATAGACAAAGTAATAAAAAATTACTTTATACTTTTTCATGATATTGTTCTTCCAGCCAAAAGAAACAAATAACCAATTAAAAAAATGTCTTCCTAAGTGTGAGCATATAATCTTTTGTCACATACCAACTTGTATATACATCAAACTCCACAATATATGCATAAGGAATATTTTTCGCTTCTTTACCTTATAGCTAACTCATTCTTTGGGATTACATTAGGCTGAATTTATCCCCTTTTATATATGGAGCAATATTGGTTGAATAATGTTCCATACCAAATCTTTCTAGAACTCTTTTAATTTATGTTTTCTGAGATAATCCTAAAAATTCACGTGATCTATTATGAAATATTTCTATTACTATCACGTAGGATGCCTTATCCATATCTTTCATTTCAAAGTTTTTAGAGATAATTTTTAGTTTCATATAATAAACTAAGATCACTACTAGCAAATAAAATATCATCAATATATAGAATCAGAAATGTAAACTTACTCCCACTAACCTTTTAGTATATACACTAATTAACAGTGTTTTCCTTAAAACCAAAAGAAATAATGGTATCATTAAACTTAATAAACCATTGTTAAAAAGCTTGTTTAAATCTATATATTGACATCTTAAATTTACAGACCATGAATTCTTTACCCTCTAATGTGAAGCCTTCAGGTTGTTTCATATGAACTTTCTCTTATAAACTCCCATTCATAAAAGTTATATTCACATTCATTTAATGTAAATCTAAATCATAATAAGTTACTAATGTCATGATATTTTAAAAGATTCCTTCTTAGATACTGGAGAGAAGGCTTCTTTATAATCTCTTCATTTATGGCACTAATCTATTTAATAAAATCATTACTGTTAATGGCTTGTAAATATGTAATTGGATTCGTATATATTTCAGTATATATCAAAATCAAATTCTTGCAGATATATCACATAGTTATCGGGAATAGCAGATCTCATTTCTCTTTAAGATTATCTTAATGTTATTCCTTATGATTCTTCTACAATCTATTCATTGGTGACAATCTCATTATAGAGTTGTTGATCATTCAATTGTTCTTCGTTGTTATACGGTTCAACAACTGAAGGAATAATTGTTTTTCAACCTCATTTATGTATACTTCAAGAGTACCTACTACTTGAGTTTTTTCATACAACAAATAGATATATCCATAATGTGAAAAATCAACTATAAAAGCGATAAAACACTTTTCTCCTCCAAAAGATGAAATATCAAAAGGTTTACAAATGTCTGTATGAATAATTTCAAGAAGCTATTTACTTATTATGGCTCATTTCTTTGTGTGTTTGGTTTATTTACCCTTAATACAATCCACACACACACCAAAATCAGTAAAGTTTATATTTAGAAGAATCACATCCTTTACTAATTTTCTTAACATTTTACTAGATATTGACCTAGTCTTTTATGCCACAAGAAAGATAAATTTTCTATTAATTGAGCTATACTTAATTCTAACATTATGATGCAAGATCAAAAGATTTTTTAATAAATAAACTATCAAAATTGAATTTATAAAAATCATCAACAATAATACCATAATTTACAAATTAGAATTTCTTGAATAAACATCATTATCAAATTTAAATGAAAAACCATTAATAAAAAAAATCAAATTATAGGAAATTGAATAAACATAAAAAAATTTAAAATAATTTAAATAAAATTCACTGTCTAACATTAAACATAATGTCACAATGGTTTTAACAAAACTTTTTCTCAATTATCATAAATAAGAAATTCTTATTTGAATTTGTGGTTGTATTGATCGATCTGTGACGACTCTTTTTCGTAACCCTGTTTCAAGGTTTGATATGTGGTACTTGAAGCTTCTTCCTGGTTATTTTGTGAATTGTTTGGATAAACCTCTTAAAAAATTAAAAAGTTTAGTATGTGATGTAAAGGTGCACAAAAAATTGTTGAAATTAGTAAATCAGAGCGAACTAAATTAAACAGTAGAAGAACCTATGTTTGATTCTGGGTCCAAAAGTAAGGAACCATTAGTTTATAGTTCAATTCCAGTTCTAGGTCTATAAGAACCAAATCGTAAACTATATATATATATATATATATTAAATAGGGTAAAATGTAATAAACCTCCCTAAACTATTAGGGTATTGCAAGAAACCCCCCGGAACTACAAAAAAAACCTAAACTGTGTTTTTGTTGCATTTTACCCCACTATAATAGATTCCGGTACCAAAAAAATCAATAGACCAAGTTACCCTTTTAAAAAAGGACATAATTTCAAACGTGATACACTTGGCTTGCTGACTTGGAATGTAAAATCTGAAGAACCAATTAAGGTGATATGTCTCTTTGTTGCAAGCATTATACGTTGACGCATTTTAGAGAGAAAGAGAGGAATGAGAGAAGGTACAGGGTAACATTCCGAGGAAAATGATGAAGAGGAAGAAGAATTGAGAAGGTACATGGTAATAAGAGAGAAAGATGAGAAAAAGAAGAAATTGTGAGCCTAACAATCCTTCAACTGATGAGAACTCGATGCAAAAGCAATAAGAGCGTCCTCTACTTATCGCGATTCTTCAATCTCCTCTATTTATGACCATTCTGCTTACTAGGTATCAACTTGATAATTTCATATTTGTTTTAGGTTCTAGAGATTTATTAATGACCAATACCATCTATGCCCCTTCAAAGTGAAACATACACCACCACACAAACCTACTACCACTACCCCAAACATACACCACCACAAACCATCAAACCCAATTAAACCACACAAACCACTGCCCCCACCCCTACCACCACCATTGCTGCCACCTCACCAACCACAATACTCTTTAGAAATTCAAATAATTCATATTGAACGTGAAACCTAATTGATCGAACCCCACAAACCCACCCCACCACCTAACTTCTGCCATTATCATCGCATATATATATTCTG